TACTAAAAAAAAAAAAAAAAAAGAAAGAAAGAAAAGAAAAAGAGAGAAACTCCTTTGACAGCTTTTGCTGGCCCTGGGTTCCTCCCTTGGGTACTTCCTGACAAGCCACTTCGCTAGCTGTGCTCAAGTCACTTGTCTTTCCTCCACCTCCCTCCCTCCGGGTGGACCTCCCTTCTAGCACCCTGGATTTTGCCCCATCTAGTTATAGCAGGGTCTCACCTCTCTACAGGTAGTCTTGCTACAACCCATCATATTTACCAGAATCCAACATAAGGAGGGTAAAGTAAAAGATAATGTAACAGGGGCTCTCTTGATACTTTTGACTATATCCCTTTGTGGCCCTAAAACTTACATGTTTTTATCTTTTTCCCAAATTCTTTTCCCTAACCTTCTCCTCCCTGATCTCTCCTCTAACTCATTTTCTCTGAATCACCTTTATAAAAGCCCCCTATTCCTACTGATGGGCAAAATCACAGCTTTTGGAACAGAAGTCTCCCATGTTTTTCCTTTGCTAGCAAAGCAATAAACCTTCTTTTTTATTCTTCTCAAAACCATGTCCTCATTATTGGATTGGCATCAGTGACAAGGACCAAGCTTTTGGCAACAGTAATGGAAATAATCTGTTCCATATATCAAATCTCCTTCCTCCTCAGTCAAAGAGGTTCTATTTTGAGGTGTGAAAGCCCAGGCCAGCATAATATTTGACTGAAGTGTCTGCATTTTCAGGAAAAGAAATCAGTGAACCAGCCGTATCACAAACTATTAACAGCAAATGAGTGACCATAACTCATGTTTTCAGTATCTAACACCTGGTGTCTCCATCTTTTCCTCCACCATCCCACCCAGTGAGGCCAGGAGGCCTTCTGCATTCCTCCATTTCTATAGCTGCCTCCAGTCTTTAAAGTTATCTCCAGGGTTGCCCCATAGCCTTCCCTGGGTCCCCATGCCTCCCAATATCTGTGCTTCAGTCAGTCCACTCCCGGTTGTCAAAGTAATTACTTGACTACTTCATTTCATTTCCTTACCCTGGAGCTTCTAGAAGTCCCCCGTTGCTTACAAAGTCAAAAGCTGACTGCTCAGGTGGAGGTCCCTTGAGGCCCTGGGGGGAACTGGCACCAACTTGCTGATTTAACTCTGCCCCTCCCTGGTCCCGACCCAGCCCCAGGGCGCGAGGTCTCTTTACCCTTCTCAGAACAGGCCTTGCTCATCCTATCTACATTCCACTCTAAGGTTCCAAGATTCTGTGAGTCACACTGCTCCTAAAGTCTGGAATCTTTCCCCATCAGCTCTTTACCAATCAAATTCATCATTTCCAGTGGGCTTAGCTTCACTCACCTCCCAGAAGGAATCCCACTTTGTAGGAGTTTTGAGCTTGGATGCCTTCCGCTAGCTAAATTATCAGTCCTGGATGTCTTGGGCAGGGCCAGGACTATGATGAAGCCTGGCCAATGCTGGGATGCTGGGCCCTGGACCAATCACTGTGATCCTTCTTCAGCAAGTAGCTTTTTTACAACCTGCTGTGTGCCCTGCACTGAACGCATACTAGGAATATGAGAGAATTGTCAAGGATAACAGACATTCGTGGAACTGACTTTCTAGCAAGAGGAGTTAGCAATTAAACAAGAAATCCTGAGACACTTTCCAAGAAGGTGACAAGAGAGACAAAGGAGGGCTTCTAAATCCGGATGAGATAAGATCCAGTGGAAGAAACAGGCAGAGGAAGCAGCTCTATAAAAAGTTTTCAGACAAGAGAAGTCCCAATATGCTCAAAACAGGTAGGGTTTCTCTGCCACCTTTCATTCAGAAATCTGCTAACTCACAGGCTGTGCTATAGGCAGTACAGACTCTGCTCTCCTGAACACTAAGAACTGGTACAGGAATTATGACAGAGAGACACAACAGATGACAGGATACAGAATGGGGTGGAGTGGTGTACTGCCCCACCAGGAGTCAGAGGAGGTCTCCTGGAAGCTCCAAGCAGACGCTCAATATAAGCCATGTTTGGAAGAAACAGTAAGTGTAAGAGGGTGCAGAATTCCAGGCCCACCAGAAGTCCCTGGTGGCCAGAGCAGGGACAGCCTGGAGTGAGGTCTCACAGGGCCTTGTGAATCTTGGTGAGAATTTTTGCTTTTTAAAGTTGAGTGAGAAGGGAAGCCTTGGGAAAGTTTTGAGCAGAGCAATATGTGATTAGATTCAGGTTTTCAAACTCTGCTCAGTTCCTGTGTGACTAGAATGTAGAAGGGCCGGTGTCAAAGCAGGAAGAGGCCCCCTCAGTGATCCTGAAGAGAGGAATGATGGTGCAGCCATGTGGTGGTGGGACATGGTCTTTGCTAGAGTCAGTGGGATTTGCTATTGGTGTAAGGTGTAAAAGGAAGAATAGAGTCCCAGATGGCTGAGCACCTGAAAACTGGCATTTCGATCCACTGATCCACTACATTATAGACCTGGTGGTGGGTGGGAGATGGGGCCTGGGTGTGGAGTGGAGATAGGCTGGCCTGGATGCACTGGCCTGATGTCAGGACACAGGCTCAGCTGTAAGTGTCTGTATGGGGACAAAAGCAAATCTGGGTGTAGGAGGGAGTGGTAAAGAGTGGTTGGAGACAAAGTGGTCAGCATGCGGGGCTTCACTGGCCTTTGGAAGGGACAAGTGTCTGGATTTGCTTCACCTGCAACAGGAAGCCATGAACTTTCCCAAACAGGAGCTTGAGATGAGAGGAGCTAATTTTCCATTTAAGAGATGGAAGAGGCATTCCAAGCATGGTGGAGGAGGAAAAGCAATGAATGAGGAGGAGGTTTGAAAATATGGTCAGCTCTATTAGCAGTTTCCATATTCAAGGATTCAACCAACCAGGGCTAACAAATATTTGAAAAAAAAATTATACCTGTACTGAACATGCACAATCTTTTACTCCTTTGATGTTATTCCATAAACAATATAGGATAACAACTATTTGCAAAGCATTTTGGTTGTGTTAGGTATCATAAGAAATCTAGTGTGATTTAAAGTGCATGGGAGGGCAGTATTATTAGAAAATTGAGCTTGATTTAAAGTACGTGGGAGGGCTGGGTGCAATGTTGCATGCCTGTAATCCCATCTACTTGGGAGGCTAAGGCTGGAGGATCGCAAATTCAAGACAAACCTTAGCAACTTAGTGAGATGGTGTTTCAAAATAAAATTTAAAAGGGTCAGGCGTCTAGGATAGAAGCTTTGAGGTAGACTGTTCCTGGCTTCAATCTCTAGTAGCACAATAAATAAGTAAATAAAATGTGAGAATGTGTAAGTTAAATATAAATGCTATCTCATTTTATATAGGGAATTTAATTAAGGATCTGGGATTTGAGGATTTTGATAGTGGGGATGTGTCCCATGAATACCAAGGACAACTATATATTGTAGAGTTAAATCAGCAAGGATGATTTTGGTGGGGCGGGTAATGGGGATTGAATTCAGGATCACTCAACCGCAGAGCCACATGCCCAGCCCTATTTTGTATTTTATTTAGAGACAAGAGTCTCACTGAGTTTCTTAGGGCCTTGCTAAGTTGTTGAGGCTGGCTTTGAACTCGTGATCCTCCTACCTCAGCCTCCTGAGCCACTGGGATTATAGGTGTGAGCCACCGTGCTGGCTAAGGATGATTTTTTAAAAGTGATCCCTTGAGGAAGGTCAAAATCTTAGTAAGCAGACCTAGGATCCCGAACCATTTTGAGGGAATTGGGGAATAATGAGGCCACTAAATTACTCTGTCCAGGATGTCCACTGCAGCCTCAAACCAGTTATTTTACTAGTCATTCTCACAGCTGGCTACATGTTAGGATTACCTTCATTGCTTTGAATGCTGCAGCAATGCCAAAGCCTCACTGAAAACCAGGACTTGGCCTTAGCTTTTTCAAAGCCTCTTGGAGAATCATGAGCAGCCTGGTACAGGGACCTCTGGTATACATCTGAAGTAAGTATGAACCTATATTATAATCAAGAGTCAACAGAGTTTTTAGAACAACTGATAGCATGAAAGAAAAAAAGCAAGTACCATTTAAATGAACTGATGGTGATGGTGACAGTAACATTAAAAATCATCATTATTGTGTTTAGAGAGCTCCAACAGGCCAGCATATCCATAAAACTGCTCCTCCCCCCCAAAGAGGAGTAAATGAGGAAGAGAAGAGAATTCTCAGAAGTAAAAAAATGAAAGATAACATTTTTAAAAGGAACAAAATTAATGATACAGATGATCAAGTTGAAATTTTTTCAGAATGTATGGCATAAAAGATAAAGACATAAAAATATGACAGAAGAGACTAGGAATGTGGAAGATGGATCTAGAAGTTTTGCTCATATTTCTGCTTGTGCTAATAACAGACCAGGAAAATTGGATCAACACCTCACAGGACATCTAGAAAAAATGAACAAAATGTGTATAGAATGCAGTTGTCCCTGAGTTGAAGATGTAGCTCAGTGGTAAAGGGCTTTCCCAGCATGTGTGATATGTGAGACTCTCCCCCCCCACACACACACACACAGGTTAAAGTTGTCCCTTGGTACCTCAGGGAGATTAGCTTCAGGACCCCCTAGGATACCAAAATCTGCAGATGCTTAAGTGTTTTATGTGAAATGAGGTAATATTTACATATAAGCTACACATATCCTCCTATATACTTTAATTATCTTTAGATTACTTATAATACCTAATACCCCCCCAAAACTATGTAAATAGTTGTTACATTTTTTTTAAGGAAACAATTACATGAAAAAAAGTCTATACATGGCTAGTACAGGTGCCATTTTTTCCCCCCAAATATTTTCCACCTGCAGGTGGTGGAGTGCAGGGATGGGAAATCCACAGGTAACACTAGTCAACTAGTTTCAATTTTATTACAAGAGGGGAAAACATCAACACAATTT